ATACAACTCAATATTAGAGTAGAATAAACAAGAATAAATATACGCTAAAATTATTAAATAAAGCAGATATATCGTGTTTCACACTTTTAATCCCAAAGGGATTGCGCTAACAGCTTTTTTTACATGGGGATGTGTGAATTTTTGTGCTCTTTCCGGTGATATGAAAAAATTAATTTTATGAAGTAAAATGATGGAGATATACAAAGTAGAATGAACACCTATATGATACCCGTTCACTTTAGGTACATCGACTTCATATGACATACGCATAAACCATTCAAGGGTTTATAGAAAAAAAAATCAAGGGCAAGCGTTCATTATTCTGCCCTTTTTTTACAGTGTAGTTGTGTCTCCAAAATCAATTCAATACAAATGACGTAAATGACTTCATCGTCTATTAACTTTTGGCATCTTGAATTGCTTGAATAATGATTTCAAAATTCGATAAGTTTGAATAACCCTTTGATAGTAAATTAACAAATCATTGAGATTTTTTTTACGAAAACGTCACCCATTGGTCATCAGATTCCTCATTCAAGGCCATACGCGATGGCGCTACATAGCAATTTATTCAGCTCACTGTACAAGGAAAGCTTGAGAAAATTCGTCTTTTTCCTTCTGGTATAACCCTGTTGGATATAGTCTAGAGTCTCCTGAAACCACCTCCATTGAATTTTGCATCGTTGTTTTATCTATTCCACCTTATTTCTACAAGTTCTGTATGAGAAATAAATTTTTTTATAGAAAAATCACTAGACCGCTTTTTTCGATGCTGTTGTTGTAGACGCCTTTTCTCAGCATGGGAAATGATATTGAAAAAGCCGAGCTATGCTTTTTTAGCGCGTCGAATAGCGCTTCCGATGACGGATGAATGAAAGCTCTATTTGCCTGCAAAAAAACTAGATAGATTTGCAAAATTCACAAGTACATAATTGACTGACCCTAAAAGCTCGTTGGCCAGGTTGAACATATAATATCTGATAAAGTTTTAGATATTGCTGCTAGACTCATTTTTCTATGAGCAATTCGAAAATCATATTGGTGAGAAAGGAAAGTGGAACGGGAAAGAAATAAACGCTGTTTGTTGAAAAGCAATTTTTATGCTGATTCTTAGACCCTCTTAGTATCTTGCGTTTTTCTCCACGAATGCGTTGTCAAATAAAAAAAAACTAAGTAGATATTCGTGATCAGCGTGAAGACGGGAATCTACTGATGTATGTTTCAGCAAAAACAAAGAGGTGCTGTAATTTTGAATTACGCGCACCTTAGAAGAACCATAAATATTGAACAGGAATTCATTTCGGAATTCGTTTTGATAAAGACTTCGTCACTACTGCTAACTTTATATTTAAACAAGCTGTCAGTCTTGTGTCTCTTCTAGTAACGAAGTTACAATAATTTTTTGAATGACTAAAATTGAACTATGTAATAGCTGTAAATCATGTGTAGTCTGATATACCATGACGGCTGTTGTACTGTGGGTGTTTTTTAGTGCGACTACGCACTTCTGAAAGCTTCAGACTGCTTGAAACACCCTAAGTAGTATCATTCTTGTAAGGTGGAAAGGGGGCTAAAGTCGCATAACATTTTTACTCCACCTCTTAGGTCATGGCTGGCCCTGGTACTATGTGGTATATGATTAGTATTTTCATGATATGGCATACGTTGTACTAATTTTAGTGAGCTGTTGGTACTTGAGTAACAGTGTGATCGGATGAATTCAGGACACCAGGAAGTGTGGCGATGTGTGCAATATCTAATAATCGGGCATCAGCTCGCATGCTAGGGTCTAAAACCATGTCCGCTTTTTAAAACTACTCTAGATCACTGTTGTTTAAGTTCTCAAAGCATTAAATTATATCGGTAGATCACAACATACAGCCGGAGATTCAGCTAGTCAAATAGATGAGTGTTGTTTCCATATTCCTGTTCCGATTTTGCTATTTATTTGTGCATCCTACTTTATTTTGCAACACAACAAAATGCTGAGAATTATAGCTGCCTTTAATCGTTGACATTCCTGAACCTAAGAGTTCAATAACATGAAAATTTCTATATAGAAGTGGTAGTCGAATGGGTCCATATAGGCGATGCAAATTGAACTGAATAAAATCTTGAGTGTTCAGCGGTACGCCCAAAAACAAAAATCCACCAGGCTTCAGGATACATGTTAATTTGGTCATTGTCTGAAAATCACCATATGGATTCAGTGGATCTCGATACCGACCAAGGCCATCATGCTCAATGCTACTATATGACCATATACTATCAAATATCTGTCGCTGATTCTCACTATTTCGCTGTTTTCTTACAAAATCCATTGGCGTTATTGTGAATAGGCGAGGAACACTCGAGTAAATAGTTGCATATTCAATCGTAGTAACGCTTGATGCATTGTATTCAAGTAATGCTGCTTCGATCCATGGATTTTCAGTGCCAATGACAGCACATCTCTTTCCTGTAATAGCTAATAATGCATATTTATCTAAGGCAGGATAAATATCTTTGTTTGAGTATGTGCCAAACGCTACTCTTGCTCGAACTTGTTTACGGTACTGTTCGATAAAATCAATCGTCCAATTGGCAGACCAAACATCAGTTGTGCGAAAGTCCTGAGAGGTATAATCGATCGGTATGGAATAGTTGAGCGTAAAATTTGATACAAGATGATCAGGTATTCGACTGATATGTTGGAGTGTTGGTGGCAAGTCATCCTTTCGCCATGCGTCATAAGTCGGGCATTGATCCTTATCAGGTACACAATAAATATTATATTTCATAAAGTCAGGATTAGGCACACGCGGAAGAAAAGAGCATGAAGCTAGTTCATTCTTGTCAGTGTTAGCCCATGGACAGTATCCGGCGCAATAGTAAATATGGCGAGTATGATCACATGGCGAATCAATTAAACCGTTTACGGCCATCACACGAGCATGCTCATGTAACTCAACATTAGATAATGTCGGATTATGAAATATTGTGAAAAATCGATGCTGTACGAACAATATAGTCAAAATAGTGATAAGAACAGCGAACACCACAAAAAAACGGCTCCGTTCTTGTCTCATTTGTATTATCTAGTGGAATGATGAATCTTATACCACGTACTGATGTCCACTCTTTTTAATATGAGGGAAATTACGAATTCAATACTACGACGCACTAAATTACAATTTATCACTTTATTTCAAAGATAATGCTAATGAGCCTTTTATACGAGCCACGACCGGGCATACCTGATAAGGAGTGGTCAGTGTTTTATACATTTCTCAAAATATTGCATAGGGCCTGCTGAATGGGGATTCTCTGATAAATAACACAAGACACTTGAAATCAAGAGAAAGTTGCTTTATCTTGTAGACAATGATAAGTTACGTAGACAGTGAAAACCTAGCGTCCTATACACTTGTATTATCCATATTACTGCTAAAAATTTAGCGCCAGTTTCAGGAAAATCGAAAAAATTCAAAATTCGGTAAACATTTTGGCCTTTACTAGTCTCCTACAGCATAAACGAATACTTATTTGTGATCGCGCATTCTTCTTCCCAACATCTGGCGGCTTTCACCTTAAGTTGTATTGTAACTTTCATTGGTCGAGCACAACATTTTCACGGGCCAGATTAGCAATCAGTGGCTAAACTTTATGTGTCAGATAGAGTGTCTGCGAAATACCTTGAAAAATGGTCCAGTGTTTACTGTCTAACTACGTTTTGTAGAAAAGACGTTGATCGATCAAACCCTACAGTTTGAACCTGAGCCAATCTTAAAATGATCAAAAGACAAGCGAAGAGGTTTTCCTCGAACGTTTTATCAGTAAATAAGATGAGGCTATGCGCTGCTTGGTATTGGGCCAAAATCTCGAAAGAATGAGTTATCGAAAGCAAAAGTTTCGAAAATTTTAAATATCGAGGAAAGAACTGTTGAGCAACTGGTCGTTCATGCTACGTATGATTATACTTATAAGATGGCATGTTGATAATGCTGTCAGTATGGGCAGAGACGTAACTTGGTCACTAAGGCAGGTGGTTTATCGCGTTCCCATGATACTTTAAAATCTCGAAGCAGGATGAGCGCATAACGTCTTCGTTCTTATAGACCCGTCACTAAAATACCCGTGAAACAGCTGTCTTTTCGATCTTACTGACCAAATATGACAAAATTCTGAAAACCAGGAGATGTATTTCCGTTTCTCTTATTCACGTACCTGTGTGCGAGTGTCAGTGAGGATGTTGATCTTCTCCTCGTACTCACATTCTAGCCATACTCTCAAGAAGATATCCTTTTGAAATAGTAAACGAGGGTAACAGACGATAAATGAAGATAGTTTGTACGATATGGGCGTTGTACACAAAAGAGAAGAGAAACAAGAAGCATTGCTAGAGTGGACACAGGCCGCTAGAGCAGATTAAGTGAAAACACCTAAAGTAGATCAGTCATAATAATATCTATCTTGATGACCTCGTAGTGGCTGCGTCTGCCAGTTTGGGTAACATGAATACTCTCATGCACACCCAAACCCACACCCACACACCCACACCCGCTTGCGCTTGACAGACAGGAAATTTTGAGAATGAATGACATTTTTTTTGGAGAACAATATAACTAAGAACCATTTCTCAGATAAATTTTCAGAAAGGACATTTTAGACCATATTCGAAAATTTCAATCTTCACATTCATCAATCAATGCATTTCGACCAACAAAACGATTGAAACATACACTGTCGATGAAAGTATGTAGCATTATTGAAGTGCCTAGAAGAATCATTCCGACAAGGGTCAGACAGTGAATATATTGAATACCATATGTGTTTCAATAAAACCGACGAAACCTTATGGGATTCCTGCACACGGACCTACAGTCGGATCATTCACTCTAAAAAAAATAGGTTTTCCAACGAACCCTGGAAAAAGGTTCGGTAGATTTGAAAAAGCATCCAAATGCATAATACTGTCTGAAAAACACTTCTTTTTTTTTCCACGGAACCTTTAAAGGTTCTTCCCCTGGATACACCGGAAGAACCTTTTCCTACGAAACCTTTTTTAAGTTCCGTACATCAGAAAAAGGTTTCGGAAGAAAAATACGAAACCTTTAGGGTTCAGAGTTGAATTCTAATGGTTTCTTATTAAACCCCAACGGTTTCGTACTAAACCATAGAATTCAATTCTGAACCCTAAAGGTTTCGCAAGAAAAATGCGAAACCTTTTTCTGATGTACGGAACTTAAAAAAAGGTTTCCTAGCAAAAGGTTCTTCCCGTGTATCCAGGGGAAGAACCTTTAAAGGTTCAGTGGAAAAAAAGAAGTGTTTTTCAGACAGTATTATGCATTTGGATGCTTTTTCAAATCTACCGAACCTTTTTCCAGGGTTCGATGGAAAACCTATTCTTTTTAGAGTGTTGGTATTGTATACAATCGGATCCGATGTAGGATTTTAGCGGAATCCAACTCTAACGAATCACCTTTGCGCTCCTGATGACTCAAAAGGGCTTATTTGATCGTGAATAAGAAAATGATTTTTTCCGTCGAAACCGACAATAGGCCCGGGTCCAGGAATCCTATCGAATTCTGTTGGGGAGTCGGATCCCATAGGATCCGATAAGATCCATTGTCGGATTCATTCACCTGGGCGATGACATTTTTAATTCAGTTTTCATATATCGTTAAATGAATGAATTATCTTGAGCAAAAAGTTTATTTTTGATGAAATATTTCACAATAGAATATTCAGTTTAATAAATCATTGATTTATAAATGAACTCGAAATAACTTCGTCAACAATGTTGTCGCAGTTACAACTTCGTCGACGGGTGTAATTTCGATACGATATATATATTTAGGCACACCACTAGACAGTGACAAAGGAAGGAAAGAGAAAGAGAACGATCGAAATACACTAGCCCCCCCCCACACACACACTCCTTTAATTAGTTAATTTTTGCTAATTATGAACTTTAATTAGCGCTTGTCCATCAAAATATGTCTGATTCTTAGCGTTTTAAGCTGCAAATCTTATGAGGATGTGTTCACAATTATAGTGATACTCTTAAAACCCTGAAAACCATCTTAGTTTTCTGAAAAACTTTTAAAATCAAATATCAGAAAAAAATGTGGTTCTTAATACAAGATTCCCCTGGAAAATGTTTATGCTGGAATATAATAAAAGGCGAGGAGTCTTTTATTGTGGAGGATGGGGGGGAGGGGGTTAGAGAAAAGAATAATTGTTGTCTCGATATATAACCACCACCTAACACGTGACAATCACAATATTGAAATGAACAAGAGTGATTATTTCGTTGATATTGCTGTTAACTTTTTCTATTAGTTGATGTTTTTCAGATTATCTTTCATGCATATGTGATAAAGATTATGAATTAGCTTATTTATCAAAATGGATAGTAATAATAAAATGAACAATTTTAATTAGCTTCCGTTTTAAAATAATTTTTATAAAATTGAATAGTTTTTCATTTGATTTAAATGATGTACTTTACATCTCAAGTGCTGCAATTTCAGTCCTACTTCTATCACTATCAAGTCTAATTATGTTCTAATTCGTTTTTCTGTTATTTATTATAATATTTTCTAATTGTTAGATATATTTAAACAAGTTGATTTTCAATCTTAAATTTTCAACCTTCCAAAATCTGATTTTAGCAATTTCATTCGATGTCATATGCTTCAATTATTGCTCTTTTTTTGATGACCTAATTCTGTAATATAGTAACAAGAGAATTTCTATTCAAACAAAGAACATCTTGGAAAATTTTGAAAATATTTTAAGCAGGCATTTTCGAATGAACTTCAAATCGATAGCTCTCAGTATATATTTCATAAATCAATTCCTTTAAATATTCATCGATGCTTCGAAACAGATACCCAGATCGAGAAATCCCACACCGAATCCGATAGGAAATTGATACTATCCTACCATTCGACAGAATCTTATAGGATTCCGGGTCGAGGAATTGATATCGAAACCACTGGTCGGAATCCATTGAATTTCCGATGACATCCAACGGTGTTTCTTTGGAATTCATAGGAATCCGAAACCGGAATCGGATGATAGTTCTGTAGGGTCCGATAAAATCCGATAAGATCCTACTGAATCCGAGTCGAATCGGATGCGTTCCGATTGGTTGCCACTGTTGGATTGCTGGACCTGGGTATATTCCAGTGAAATTATTAACTGAAATGAATAGAAAATGTTTTTATTTAGACTGATCTCAATGATGTATTCCAGCCTTGATGTTTATTTTAAAACTATATTGATGAATTTTAATTATAGTATCCAAGCCTATCTATTAAATACCAAGTATTTCTTTACACAATTAAATTGACTTATTTTATTGGGATTCCTTTCATTCTATGATTATTTACGTGTATTGTTTGTATTGTTGTTGAATTAAGTTCAAATTATATGAAACTCTCTTTCTATTTTTATTGGG